ATGCCCACAGAGAGGGTGCTGAGTGCCACCTCTGGCACGCGTGCCATAGGTTCGCCACCACTGCACTAAGTGATGTGGTCATCTGATGTTTGTACTTCATGTCCACATTGCTTAGCGACAGAATTTCCAGTCCCAGTTACTGTCATTAAATGAAGGCTATCTGTAAAACAACTAGTTTATACCGTATTTTCCGGCGTATAAGGTGACCCAGCGTATAAGATGACCCCCGACTTCGGCGCCGATTTCCATGCCTAGAAAGTCGTCTTATCCACCGGAAACTACTGTAATTTCCGGCGTATAAGACGACTCGGCGTATAAGACAACCCCCGACTTCGGCGCCGATTTCCGCGCTTTAGAAAGTCGTCTTATACGCCGGAAAATACAGTACTTATTATTCTATTCCTTTCTGTTCTTTCAAACTACGAGTTTTGGCTTCCACCAAATCCATACATTGCTTTATATGTTGCCCTTTGTTTGCTAACCTTTTGTGGATTGTATTAATTTGGCCATGATTTTCTTGTAACTTCATTTTCCTTCCCATCCATCCATTCTTCTTCCCTAAGTTCATTTTGTAATTTAATCTTTATTCGTTCAACTTGAAACTGGACATTAATTTGTGTAAACAAGATTAAATTGCTGTTTATTGTATGGGATAGCTTAGCCAATGGTTATTTTTTTACATTCTTGAAGTTTATTTCAACAGGAATTGCATGTGATTTACATACTATTCCTTTGTTTGAATTTTCATGAAGTTCTCCATATGTTGTCTGAACTTTAGAAATGGTTCTTTTTAGTTATTTATATTCTTGCCGTAACTGAAAATACTGGGAACAAAAGAAACAATTTTCTAAATAGCTCTTCCTGTATATAAGTCTCTCTTTGTACCATTAACTGTTTTAATTATGATTCCACACTACTAAAGAAGATTTGTAAGGAAATATCTTGGGCTTTCTGCCTTGAATTCTGCAATAATCACAATTCTGCCATAACCAGTTAAAATTTAGCTTCTTTTTAACTTGTTTTTCCACGTTGGGGGCAGCAGCTTCATCCATTCATTTAGAGCAGTGGTTCTTAACCTTTTTGAACGAATCGCCCCCTTGAGCCAATGAGGAAGTTGTCATCGCCCCCCTCCCCCAACATAATCTCTCAATCACAACATAGGAAATAATTCTTCAATTTATCCAAACACTTTTTTTATTTTCTTTAAAATCGTCATCAGGACATATCGATGCAAATAATTTATTTCCAGTCTTTTTCCCATATCTCCCACTGTATGGGTAGAGGCTGTATGGGTAGAGGCTGCTGCACAATGTGATAAGCGATGCATATTCACATATTTATGGCGTTCTATACTGAAGATAGCTGGAGGAACATTTGGAAACACAATTCAATCCACTAATCGTGAGCGATCTGATGTTTTTGTACAACAGATATACAGCGATTCACTGTACAAAAAAGTCTCAAAAGTGTCCCCAAAACTTCTTGCTCCATTGCCCCCATATCGCCCCCTTTTCGTTCCTTCGCCCTCGCATCACCCCTTTTCGTTCCATCGCCCCCCTGAAAAATGAAATCGCCCCCCGGGGGGCAATATCGCCCAGGTTAAGAACCACTGATTTCGAGCTTGAAGATGGATTACATATTACTACACAGACCCATTCCCATAGAAGATGACTTTCTGCACTCCTCCTATTTTTTTTCTTTTAATACCCCTGTAATCCAGCAGCCCCCATTTTTTTTTTGGCACCGGGGACCGGTTCTGTGGAGAGAGGTGTTTTCGCGGACCAGAAGGGGGCGTGGTTTCACATGCTGCCTGCATCCTGTGGATGGGACTTCATTTGTTTGCACAGCCCAGTTTCTGGCACGTCACGGCCCGGTACCAGTCCACCGACCTCTGGTGTAATCCCTTACATCGAGGTGGCATCAGGGCGACTGAATGGAGCTCAGCGTTTGCTGGCCAGATGCCCCTCCTGACACCTACATGGAGTCTGCAGCAGACAATTACTCATTGTGCCCAGAGAGAGAAATCTCTGCCACCACCTAGGATCAAACTCACAGCCCCGATTGTGAGGCGAGAGCTCTACCTCTAGGCTACCCCACCACTCTTCTGCATTCCTAAACATTTACAAATAATTTAAAGTAAGTGTACTGTCAAAGTGAGATTTTCTACAGGTAGTAGAACTTATACCATTTGTTTAATGACCATTTGAACTTACAATGGCACTGACAAAAGTGATTTATGACCGGTTTTCACACTTATGAGTGACAGCATCCCCATGGTCACATGATCAAAATTCGGACACTTGGCAACTGACCTGTATTAGTGAAAGTTGCATTGTCACTGATCATCCTGACACAGGCAGTGTGTTGGTACCTTTACCAGATAAAGAAGCTGCCTTATCCACTATCAGTGAGATTTCCGATGTTTTGCTAAGGAAATGTACAAAGAAGTTAGCAAGACATTCAACCAATTTTTGATACCCACACTGATACCCACACTAGGTAGTTGATTCTAAAGCTGCCCAGCTTCATCTTTAATCACATCCAGGATATACAATGCTTCACCCTTCACAGAAGTTCCTGTGTTCTTGGGCTGATTGCCCTATTAATAGAGATGCCAAATTCTGTTTTGTCTGCAAAAAAGTTCCTATGGTAAAACCAGAATATGCTAAGTGGAAAAAAATAAAGAATATCCAACATACGAACCTACAAACTCGTACACATGTCATTTGCACCAACCCAACGTAGTCATCCCAGCCACATGGCCAGTCTTTGGACAACACTGGCTCCCTTGGCTAGGAAATAGAGATCAGCACTGCCCCTTAGAGTTGGACTCGGCTGGATAGGGGAAACCTTTGCTTTTACTTGTAATCCTCCATTGATGACTACAGTTGAGCCCAAAATTTCCATTGCTAAGCAAGCGAGTTTGTTACTGAATTTGGCCCCATTTTGCAACCTTCCTTGCCACAGTTGTTAAGTGAATCACTCAGTTGTTATGGTAGTAACCTGGTTGTTAAGCAAATCTGGCTTCCCCATTGACTTAGCTTGTCAGAAGGTCGCAAAAGGTGATCACACGACCCCGGGGAGCCGGCAACCGTCATAAATGTGAACCAGTTGCCAAGCATCCGAATTTTGATCACGCGACCACGGGGATGCTGGAACAGTTATAAGTGGGAAAAACAGTCACAAGTCACCTTTTCCAGTGCCATTGTAACTTCAAAGGGTCACCAGATGATAGTTGTAAGTCAAGGACTACCTGTCCTTTTTCGTTTTGACATTGGCATGAGCTGCTGTAGTCCTCTGACTTCTTCTGTGTATCCCGTTCTCTTCTGGTTCAGCCGCAGGGCAGTTCAGATTGGAAAACTTCCATCCTGAGTTCCAGAGGGCTCAGGAGCAGATTTTTTTTTTTTTTCATTTGAGGAATTCTTGTTGAGTCTCCTGGTCTCTAATTCCACAACTCATCAGTAGATTAAATCTTATGGATGTGTATGATTTGAATTTTGCCATTCAGTTTCTGGTCAGGTTCACATCTTATTAAAAAAATGTCCAGCTTCATTTCTTTTGCTTATGTGAGCAATCTACTACCCCAGAGGCTTGCCTCATCCCATCCACTTAGCCTCTAGGCTCAAATGAGCCATTGTTCTCCCATCCCACTCACCCAAGCAGAGAGAGACTACACAGCAATCTCTATCTAGCCATATATGTAGCTGTCTGGAACAGTGCCTGGTTACAGAATGATGGTGCCATTACAGAGTTCAGCAGTTTGTGTTTAAATGTAAGAAGAAAGAAAGAAATCTTGATGGCCAGGAGCCCTCTTCTTCTTCTTCCTCCTCCCACAAAACACTTGAAAGGAATGACCGGTGATACCCTGTCTGAATAGATTTATTGATTTGATGTTAAATACATTGCTGTTTACTGATGGCGGTGCCTAAGGAATTGCTTCCAAGAGCATAAATTAAAGCAGCGGAATAGATTTAGATTGTGTGGGACTTGTTTTTATTAAGTTCTGCTTTTATTGTGTGTGTGGGAGGGGGATACTTTTTAAAGACACATGTACATGTATTCTTAGGTGCAAACACTTCTGGAGAATTTATCAAAGATACCAAGAATCATAAATGCATGCATGGGTGCTGGGCAGGGTGAATAGCAAAAATAATAATTATATACAATTGATAGGATAACGTCTTCACTTGGATTGCTGACATGTTCTCCTGTCCAACATTTGTATGTATTCCTTGTGGGCAAGGAATCAGAGCAGTCTCAGCAGATAGCAACACTTAGTTGACCGTGTCTAGCCTGAGAAGCTAAACAAGATAGAAACTGGGTCATACTTGATGGGAGGTTTTCCAGAAGACCCCCAGAGCTGCAAGCTGAACTTATATATTCTGGAACAATGATCCTCAACCTTTCTAATGCCGTGACCCCATAATACAGTTTCCCATGTTGTGGTGACCCCCAAGTGGGTGTGGCCACCAATAAGAGGGAGTAGGACAGCTAGGGAAAAGGGAAAAAAATGGCGGACAGCATGGTTTGGCGACCCCCGTGAAATGGTCATTCGACCCCAAATGGGGTCCCGACCCACAGGTTGAGAACCACTGTTCTGGAAGAAGAGAGTTGTGAACCATTTCATATTGTCGTCAGAAAGACTACATAGATGTGCCCATAATATCACCTTGTGATGAATTAAACGTGATGGAAACTCTTTAAGATAGAGCAGCAATTTAGTCTGATAAAATTTTTCTCCCTTCCCCCCCCCCCCGTTGCTGTCAATATAGCACATGATATTGTTAACTCAAATACTTTAATCTTTCTATAAAGTCGAAAGATGAACATTATATTTGAACTTTTCTTTGTTCAGTAGAGAAAAAGTTAGAGCACTCAGTAGTCCATTCTTTTCTCAAGGGTCCACCAACTGTGGACACAGAAAGGGAGAATATGAGGTCCGCCACAACCTTCATTGACTATAGTCCAGCTAAAAATGTGTTGCTTTCTTTCACCTGTAGGTTTGTTGATTGGTTCTGGGTGTGCTCTCTATCCTCTGGGCTGGGAAAGTGAAGAAGTCAGACAAGCCTGTGGCGATCTTTCCGACCAGTTTGAACTAGGTGAGTAATCCTAGTTCTATGGAAAATGACCTTAAATGAAATGGATTCACAAATGCTCAGAGTGTTCACAAAACAAAACCAGAAAGAGAAAAATACAGAGTTAAGAATGAAAGACGTTAAGAAAGACTCTTCTGTTTTGTTAAGAAATGGACCAGCTGCCCAGCCAAAATCTATACCTATGACTAAAGTAAAGCCACTTCAGAGGCTTATAGCCTACATGCTAGTTTAACTGTGGTTTGGTCTTGGCTGTGTTTGCATAACATGCTAAGATATAAATCATCTATAAACTGCAATTACTGGGTTTGCTTAAATTGTAAAGCAATAATAATAATAATATAAGTGGACAAAATTTCCATCTTTTGATTACAAGAGGCCACACAGCTTGGATCTGCACATATGCTGACTCATCCTAGGTCCTTGGGGGAAAACTCATTGCGTATGAAGGTCAACACCAGCTACAGAACTGGCAACTGTGATTTCATATTGTTGTGTATATAATTTTTAAAAACCCATTATGGTTTAGACCAGTGGTTCTCAACCTTTCTAATGCCGCGACCCCATAATACAGTTCCCCATGTTGTGGTGACCCCCAACCACTTATACATCACCGGGTGCCAGGGGCGTGGCCAAAGAAAAGGGGGGAAAATGGCGGACAGCCTTGTTTGGTGACCCCCGTGAAATGGTTGTTCGACCCCAAATGGGGTCCCGACCCACAGGTTGAGAACCATTGGTTTAGACCATAGTGTTAAGTATATTTTCTTCCCTAATTTCTGCCTGCTCTACTACCTTAAGTCTGTGAGTCCTCTAGACTATTAACTTTAACTCATGTTGAAATGGTCATCCTAACTTGAATGTGGGGATGTACATACAGAAATCAAAAAGGATTGGGTCCCCCAAGTCATAGTGAAGTAGAGGAAAAAATCTCCCCCTTTTTTCAGATGGTCCTTGATTTGTGAAGGTACACCCAGATGCAACCTGGATAAGGAAATAAAATTCATTTAATGCTATGTGCCCAGTATAACTGCTCCGTGTTGAATCCCACTTGGGGGTTACTTTAACAGAAAGTACAATTCATATATATTTGCCCAGACTTTCTGACAGGGCACTCTAGATTAATGGCAAGTTATCTGGAACATGATCCTGGTTTGCCCCAGTTACTTTGTATAAACCATTAAGTCTATACAAAATGATGGAGATCTGAAAAAATAAGTGTCAAATGTAGTCTAGTGTCCCTTGCTTGTGTGCCTGCCTAGGTGCCTTCCTTTTATGGTTTTAAAAACCATGGATAATCACATTTCACATGTTGCAGGCAGCTCCCGAATGAAAGGCAGAATATAAATTTAACAAACAAACAAAACAATGAAGGCTAATTTATTCTGTATATAGCAGTTGTCCGGCTTAGTGCCTGAATTCAAAAACCTTTGACTGTTACCTAGAGCATCTGGTTTCAATTATTTAAAGTAGACTTTTTCAAATATTTTCTCATATATATGAATATTTATATCTCTTCCGTATTTCCCATTCTCCAGAATTTCCAGTCATTGACAAATTGATGTATGCAGTATTCATTGAAAGGAAAATTACCTTGAATCATCTACCCCTAAGAGGAAGACTAGAAAGAAAAAAATAATAATTACCCTCAGTGCAGATTTGCTAATCTAAGACAGCTTTTCTATTTTTATAATGTCAACTATTCAGGAGTAAAAATTTCTTTCTCCAAATTACTAAAATATTCCTAGAAAATGAAGTAGACTGACAATTAAATACACATGTTATTAATGTAAATGTGTTTAGTAGGGCATGTATTTCTCAGAAGCCGTTACTGAGAGTCTGAGCTACACCACCATTTCAAACCAACAACATTGTCACTTTCTCTAAATCCTTTAATTCAATATCACATACATCTAGGTCGGTATTCATTGCTTCTTCCTCTTCTCCATCTTTTATTGTTGCCTTTGCAACTTTCCTGCACTTTGCCCAGTTTAAGAACATTTTTCCTACCTATTTAACAACTCTTCTCAGCATTAGTGAGCAAAATAGTCTGATGATTCATTTCAAAGGTTAGCCTAGTCCAGTGGTAGGCAACTTGGCTCTTTTATGACTCGTTGACTTCAACTCCCAGGAATTCTGGGAGTTGAAGTCCATGAGTCATAAAAGTTGCCTACCCCTGGCCTAGTCTGAATAAAGAACCAGGTGCCTTTGGAAATCTCACTAGTGGCCAACAAAAGCAACTGTATCCTCCCACTCCGTAGGCATTTATGTCCAAGTACGGGAATGAAAATTGTTCAGGTTCTCCCTGTGTCATTTGCCCTATTGCCTTTAGGGAAAGCTTACATCAGTCCAGATTAAGTAATGAATTCAGCAAACTAAACTAGGTTTATGGGCAGATATCTGGACACAGTTTTTGAATATAAAGAGTTTTTAATCCCTAAAAACTCTAATTAGAGTGCCTGTTTTTATACAACCTTCCAAAACCCTAAGCACTTGCTCTACACAGGCATCTCTTGAAGGTAAGAAAACTTCAGACCTTTGCCTATCCTCATACCACGAAGCCAGCATGTTTACACACTTGATGGGCAGGGAATAAATAAATATGGCATATGAATACTTGTATTTTCTTTCAATTATTAAATACGGCATCAAAATACTGCTATTATTCCAGTGGTGGTGGTGGTGGTGGGGAGATTGAGAAAAGGAAGACCACACTTGCAATAACACTGTCTCTGTTTGTGTCTTTTGTCTTCCCTGTAGGCACCTGTGAGATTGGCTGGGCTTACTATTGCACAGGAGGAGGAGCTGCAGGGGCAATGTTGATATGCACTTGGCTGGCCTGTTTCTCTGGCAAGAAACAAAAACAATATCCTTATTAAAGCCAGAAGGAAACAGAACAAAACAAACCAGTTTTGGGGAAGGGGGCGGGGGCGGGGGAACAGTTCGTATGTTTTCTTGAGAGGATGCATTAACTCTTTATTGTAGCCAGATAAATGCAAAGGAGAGAGTCAGTGAAGTTGGAACTGATGTGTGATACTGTGAATAGGAAGGAGGCTCTCTGGGTCTTAAGAATCTCAGACTGAGAATCTTAAGGAGGCTAGGTTCTAACTGTATTCTTCCTAGCCGCTTATGGGTATTGTCCAACCACATGAAGTATCCCCTCATGAAGAGTGAGGAGAAGCAATGGGATTTTAGCACACAAAAGAGTTAAAGAACGTTGTCTTCAAACACCAGGGATTGGGCCTTAGAAAAGTTTCTCAGCAAATATATTTGAGAGGAAAGGGAGCGTTTCTTCCCCCTTTGTAACCTGCTTGTACTGTGAGCAAGTGTCAATTTTCTTAGAAGTGTGGCTATCACTTGCGTATCTATAGGGGAGATTTGTTTTTAGGCCTTAATGCAGTTTGTCTTTAACGGCATCACGGCATCACGGGCTGGCAGAGTACCAGAGTATGATTTTAAAAAAAAAAATTTTTTTTAATCTGAAGTAATCAGGGGCCTTCTTTGTGAGACTTTTTGAAAGCACAGCTTCCTGCATTTGCACAGACACTTTTCCCTCAAGCATACACAACAAATGTTAGCCTCATGGATCAGGTTTTCTTAAAAAAATGTACAGCCTTCAGGTATTTGACCAATCTGCCTGTATGTGTGTGCGTGTGTGTAAAACAAAGCAGTTTGAGTAGTAAATTGCTGTGGCAGTTACTGTTACTCAGGCAAATTTCTAAAGCCAATATAAATCTTGTCACCTCTGCCTAAAAGCACAGAAATCCACTCCAGATGCTTCTTTGTCTTCACCTAAGCATGTTACCACCTCATCATTTCATTTACAGATTACATGCACATTTGGCCAAATTACCTATTTTATAAAAGCCTGGGTAGGTGAAATACACCTGTTTTTTCAAATGAAAAGAAAAACAGATTTTAATGGATAGTTGGGAACAGTAAGTTGGTGGGTGTAGAATGAATTCAAGACCACACAAACATATTCTTCAGCTTCCAAATGCCTCCTCGAGGCAGATTTTCACATCAGAAATATATGTCATATCACGCACCTATAGAGTGAAGTGTGATCAGCCCTATATTTCATACTATTGTACACATTCAAAAGACTTTTCATCCAAATGTACAAAGCTACATACATCGTTCCAATGTATCTTTCCTTGAACTTCCTTTCCCTATATACATTTAAAATATTTATTAAGATTTTTTAAAATAGATTTAAAGACAAATTTAAAAAAGGAAAGAAATGCAAGAGAAAAAAGGAGGGGAAAAACTAAATTTAAAGAATATATGAATGATTTCTGACTTTCTTTTCAACAGATAATTATAATCTTAATATCCTTCCTCCCTCTTATATACTATATGAATCTTCAGCTCATTTAATCTATCTTTTTTAATCTTCACCAATATATTTTCCCTTGAACTTTCATTTTTATCTACAATCAAGCATACACGCTCTATGCCTTTTTCTTAAGCATAGTACACACAAATCTCCCTCATCAGGAAATTAAAACAAGACAAAGGGAACATTTCCCCTCCATTCCAAGCTTTCCCTCTTCCCCTTCCCCCGGAGAGAATTAACACAGGTTATAAATATGTTCTTTTCTCCTCTTTCCTTCATATATTCAATACTGGGCAGGACAGCAGGGAAAGTGCCACTACCTCTGGGGCTGCTCATAACTCTCATGTGAAGGGAAGGGTTGCACAATCGCACTGCAATGCGAAATCTGTTTTACGTGGACGGAGCACACCTATTTCGGTGATGCACAAGGCCACAAAGGTCAGGTCACCACTTTCACTGGGCCAGTTTTATTTCTTTGCAACTACTACATTCTCTGCATATCTTATCATTGCTAAGGGATGCAAAGGCTACAACCGGAATGTTCCAACCCGAATATTTCAGAAGGGATCGAATCTGCAAACAGTATTTGAGTTGGAACATTCAGAGGCAAAAGGCTTTGCCTCTCCCACTCTACTGCATTATGGGGAAAGACCCCTTAATACCAGTACTGTGGAGTAAAGCAATTGCAATAAGTACTCTGTGCACTTAGTTTGGGTTTGTGTGTGTGTGTGTGCGTGTGTGTGTGTGTGCGCGCGCGTGTGTGTGATAAATTCGAATTTCAGTATTATGCCACATTTTAAACAAACAACTCTAATGGACTTACGGGCCATTTTTTTCCAGTATTTTATATAGTGTAGATGTGATCTCAAGTTTTATTGTCATTTTTGGAACTGTATCGATTTTATTAATCTCAACATTTGCAATGTTATTAAAAATGCAATATTATACTCAGCATATGTAGCCTTTTAGTTAAGAATATTCTTACAAAGGGACACTTCTGTCCAGTGACACTAATGTGTATGGCACAGTAGAATATTACTACTTATGCAAGAGCGATGAAAAGCATCTTCCAGGTTTTATTACTAATACTGTTAGTAATTATTGTTGTATTGTGCTGTATTGTTTATTTTAATATTCATTTTTATAATGCAATATAAAATGTACTATTTTGTTAGTACTTTAGAATCTGTATAAATAAATGTCTTCTTCAACTGTACATTTCCCTCCCCTCCCCCATACAATCAAACATTTGGCTTAGTTCTTAGTGCTAACTGCCTATGGTTTAATCTTTTCCTGTGTTGATCATAGGAGCAAGATATTTGCAAACATGATGCCATATGCTGGAACAGAACTCAACAGAATAAGGGGGAAATTGGGGGCTTGCTTCCTTTTACAAAAAAGGGATGGGTTAAAAGGTCCCAGCCACTTATGCCTTCTAAAGTAAAGCTGCCTGGCTCCTCTGCTAGCAGAAAAGAGTTATTAGCAGTAGACCTTGTCTCTGTATGTGGAATCAAGTTCCAGAACGGTCATAAAAGGGGAGTTGCATCCTGTACAGCTGCCGTTGTATATGGCAGTGATGGCGAACCTTTTAGAGACCGAGTGCCCAAAAACCGCCTTGCCCCTGCCCCACCCCCCTCTCTTGCCTGCAGGACCACCCACCACCTCCACAGCAGATCACCCAGGCGGCCCAGCAGCGTTATGGGAGCCATGCCCTCTGTTCACACCCCGCATCATCTGTACACGATGGGGCACGGGGGTGGGGTCTTGTCCCTGCTGCCCAGCTGCCATGTCCTTGGCTGCGCTACTCTGCACAGGCTGCGCCCAGGGCAACTCTCCTCCGGGGGGCTGCTGGTGAGGAAGGGGCCACAGGGGGTGGCAGGGCTGGGGCAATGGCATGCGTGCCCACAGAGAGGGCTCTAAGTGCCGCCTCTGGCACCCATGCCATAGGTTCGTCACCATTGGTATATGGAATATCTTTGGGCCCCGAACCCATAGCTCTTTTAGCTGTAGGGCCTGAAATACCAGAATATATGTGAATATATTGGAAAGAGTGTACTAGAAAGGGGCATTATTCCAGTGACCAGAGCAACTTTCATTAAAATATTATGAAAATGTTCCAGAATTAAGGTAACAGATATTTCTCACGCAGAGGTCAATTCCCAGTGAGCAGGAGCTCCACGCTGGACTTTTATTCGGGGATGGTGTTATAATATAGACATGATTTGCCATTGCCTCCTAGAATTCTTTTAGCTTACAATCCTGCGATTTCAGGTTCAAAGCAATGTAGGTCAAAGTTGTTAATATCCTAATATCTTGCAGGAATTTTTGGAGCACAGATGCAAAGTTGAGAGGAACGATGTTAGTCAACTGATAGACTGATTATGTGTCATCGGGTCTTTGATTCCTAGCGACCACATCACAACATAGATGCATCTCAACATTTTAATATTGTTTCCAAAGCCTTTGTGGCTGTTCTATGGAATTCCAATCTGCAGCATTTTTCTTGACTGCTTATTCCTTTACTAAAACGCAGAGGCTATCCACTATTTTGGTATCTTTACTGTCAATTCTAAGGTGGTTGTTCTACCTGCTGTCCTTAAGTTGGTTTTCTTTACATTTAATTTTATGTTAGTCACAATTTTTTATATATATAATGCTGTGTTTAACGTATGTATAACATGCCAATTTCCAAAACAATGCTTTTCTGTGCAGATTATAAATTGCTGTTAGTTTTGCTCTGCTTAAAAAATAACAAATACATTCATTATTCAGAAAAAGTTTCTTTAAAAGATAAGAACCATGACAATAATGAGTATAAAACAAGGCCACTAAAATATATGAAATTGGTTTGGTAGGCTGAACAATCACAACATACCATATTTTTAAAAATATTCATTTGAGAATACTACATCAAAATATAACAGGAAAACGGATCAGCAACTGAAAGAATGCTTTGAATAGAGGCTGTGCTTAGAAAAGCCCTCAGTGGACAGAGACTGCCACTGGACCATGCTCCGCTAATGCTGAAGTGCAATTGTATTTTTCAAAGATCTTTTCTGCTTATGGAGTGGGAGTTGTTCCCTCAGATAACTGCAATACCCTTCCTTCCTTCCTTCCTTCCTTCCTTCCTTCCTTCCTTCCTTCCTTCCTTCCTTCCTTCCTCCATCCCTCCCACCCATTCACCCATCCATCCATCCATCCATCTATCCATCCATCCCTCCATCCAATATGCTGTTGTCTCCCATTGCCTGTAAACAAATTTAAGACCGGGTGATTAATATAATTCTGATTATATTAAAAGAATGACCAGAAAAACTCTTGGAATTTTATTACAAGAGAAACAATTTATACAAAAAAACAATTAAAACATGGTCCATAAAACTTGGCTAAAATAATGAAAGACAAACAAACCCTGAGATAAATGCACAGAATGCATCATTAGTTATTTCAAGTATTGCACAACTAGAGAGAGCAGGCAATCCAGTAGAGCAGAATCCCTCAGCCAGCTACTGTCTGCTCCTATGGACTCCCCCCCCCCAACCAGCACAGCAATCATCTGTCAGACAGAGAAGAGTATAAGAGCTGCAGCCCACCCCATCCGGTTCTGCTTGTATGGCCTGAAAGATGCCGTTAGTCCAAAGGTACATATTTCTGTACTTGTTCAGCTCCAATTTCTGCCACATAAATGGCTCCAGTACTTAAGCTGACATCCAGAAGATGAGGCTTGACTTCTTTTGCAAGCTGGATCGTGTCCACCACAGTGCAATCCCCAATTAATCCTACTGGTGGGGCAGCCAAAATAGAAATCTTATTAATATTTAGGTGGGCCACAATGATATACTGCTGATCAGGAGTAAATCTGTAAGTGGAAGGGAGGAAAAAAAAGGAAACTTTATTTTTAAAAAAAGAAACACTGAATCTTAAAAGATCTCATTCTGTGAGCAATGTGCATTTCTGTTGGATCTGAGACAAGGCTGCTGCCTCTATACAGACACCAACATTGCCTGAAATGCTGTCCTAAGAGCTTTTTTAAAATCCTAGTAAATCCTACTGTTGAGATTCAGTATTTTGGAGCCAATTTTCAATAGGAATGTTTGGTACAAATAGAGAATAAGTGACAGGTGCCCTTCAATAACAAAAAAAGCATACTGCAATTCTTTGGACACAAATTTCAATATTCAGAGGTATTATCTGAATATATGAAATATGGGTATTTTTGCATTTTTTTTTTAAATCAATACTACTAAGAAAGTGTGGTCCACAGACTAGTGCTGGTCTGCAAACTGTTGCTGGCCCATGACAAGATACAATCCTTTCATATAGTTCCAAAATAATATGAGATTATTCCACATGAAAGGGTATGCCAATAAAGCAGGGGTAGGTAACATTGGCTCTTTTATGACTCGTGGACTTCAACTCCCAAAATTCTGGGAGTTGAAGTCCACGAGTTATAAAAGAGCCAATGTTGCCTACCCCTGCAATAAAAGAATGCATCAGTTTAATCCTCTTCACTGCAAGTATACATTTAAATAGAATGGAAATTATTCAAATTGCCTATGATCCAAAAAAGGGTGTGGGGTTTCTCCTTTAAGGAAACAATATTCATCTACATCGTACCTTTCCTAGAGCTCAACATTCCCTTTCTAGCAACATAAAACATGTGGGGAGGAGTGTGTATGAAACAAACAAATATTGTCTCCCATTCTAGTTCGTTTCTTATTCCACTTGGTGAATACTTTGTTCCCACCCAAATGCCATTTTAAAATATCAGGCAGTTTAACGGTATCTTCCAGAAAAGTGAAATTGAGCTTTTTAAGGTCCGAATCACAGAAAAAGTGCCAGGGTTACCAGTTACTGGCAGATCACTTTCAAAAAGTATACTGGTTATGGAAAATGTATAATGAAAGTGATCGCATTTCAGAATTAGGGGGATGTGAATTTTTAGTGAACCCTCTAGTGCAGGGGTAGGCAACCTTGGCTCTTTTATGACTCGTGGACCTCAACTCCCAGAATTCCTGAGCCAGCTATGCTGACTCAGGAATTCTGGGAGTTGAAGTCCACGAGTCATAAAAGAGCCAAGGTTGCCTACGCCTGCTCTAGTGCGTTCAGAGAGCTACATAACTCTTATTTGGCTCTATCCTAGGAACTGAAACCTTCATTAGAAATCCTATCTACAAATGGATTCTTGTTCAACTGTAATTAGTTGAAAAGTTTTCTATCTAATGGACACGCTGGCATACATACACACAGATACTATACCTTACAGAGTAAGGGCCATCTTCTGTGAAGCAGTTATCCCAAGATCCTAACCATTCCCCAGTGCTCTTTTCAAAAACTTGGATTCTCCAGTTGGCTCTATCTGCAACCCAGACCTGGTACAAACAAAGACACCATTTTAAGCACTGAGGAAGAAATACACACAAAAAAAATCTAACTTAAATGGATGGCTCTCTAAATTAATAACCAGCATCTCAATACTTTATGTTAGGTTATAAATCAAATCTTTATAATCTAGCAATATGTATAACTCTTTCATCCATCCAAATGGTTTGAATAGCCATCAAGACAATTGTTCAACAGTTATTTTTAAGGGCACTGGGAGTGGAGGGAAGGCTGGGGATTAAAAAAAGACAAGTTGGGAAACTGCACTAGTGAAACCCCATTCCTTTTGCATGTGTGTTACCTTGTGCACATTCGAAGTGCTGAGACAATAAAACCTAAATGGTTGTTAGCTCAGCCAACAGTGTCCTCATCAATGTGGTCAGTAGTACTCTAATGTTTTATGCTATTATGTCAAAATTATCACTGCTCCTTACCCGCCCAACCGAATCCACAGTTACACTGTGTGGAATCCTGAACTGTGTAGGAGCAGTACCGTTTTCTCCACGTAGCCATAGAATCTTTAAGTCTGTGAGTAAAAAAGTGTCGATCAAACATTATTTCCTGCAATGAGTTTACAACAAAATAATCAGTATTAAAACAAAAGCACGAGTAGAGAACCCACAGTCCAGGAGTATATATGGACCTTTTGAAGTACTAATTCACACACCTCGTCATATTGAAAAGATGTAAAAATGAGTGCAATCAGATACTTTGAGACTTTTCACTCGATTTTCACTTTAAAAACTACCAAACTGCTTTTGAAAAAGAAAACAAAAAGATCAAACATTTTTG